AATTATTGCTTGATTATTATTTTATTGCAGTTCTAATAGCTGCATACGTTTCTTATAAAATTAAAATTTTCATAAGTAAATAAAAAATATATCAGTAAAAAAAACAAATATTTAACGTTTTCAATTAAATACGTTTCTCGATTCACTCTTATGTTACAAATTGATCTATTGTAATGTCTACACAACAGAACTTTGTGACACACAAAACGATATTTTATAATATTAACTTTATATAAAAAAAAATATATTTTTTGTCATTTCATCAGTTAAAATAATATCGTTTTAAAAATCATCATCTTCACTTATAAATACATATTTAAATTATACCAATTAGAGTTGTTTAATGTCACATTCATATAGGCCGTCTAATTCTACAGTTTCCGCACGTGGTTCAGCACCTAGCACACTTCTAAATATAAAGTTACATATCAGTCTGACACTCTGATAGTTTTGGTAACACGACACATATCAAGATACACTCACTGACACTTATAAATTAAATGCGAAATTATAAATACACTTTTGAGACTAGTCTTTTAGTCTTTGGCTACAAATTCAAATGAAATAAACAACTAAAATGTATGTATATTTAATACGACTCGACCAGTAGCTAATTCAGTCAGTTCAAAATATTTATAAACATTATTGTATCAAAAGTAAAAGAATGAAACTATACGTAAATTAAATTCTCGTAAATAGCAATAATAAAAACAATAAAAAATATATTATTTAGTCATCAGTAAACCGTTGATGTAACAATAAATTGTTTTTAATTCTATATGTACTTATATTGCTGATAGTACGAAAACTTTGTTTTCATATAAAAGTAAAAATGGTAAAATATTGTGTTAAAATTCATTGGTTTGTAAATAAATTAGGTTGTGGTTAAAATATTATATAAAATTGTTCAATATTGTTTTCGTCTCTTTCAACATTACCTAGCTAGTACAACTAAATGTATATTAGAACTAACCTATGTGTTTACAATATTTGTACGATCTGGGCAATGTTGGCTGTACACACGATTACTTTCCTTAGTAAAAAATATTTACATAAAACTTTTTAGAGTGCATTAATTTTACATTAAGTAAACTTATATTTTACAAACCATTGCCATTTTAAACATAGTTTTACATCCATAGTTTGACATACAGAAAGACACATTTAAAATTGGAACGTGCGGTTTTTAAATATCAGACACGTTGTTTTTTTTTTAACATTTTATATGACAAAAGACAAGGTGTGAAAGAATATTGCGTTAATTGTATTTTTTTTTAAATGTTCAATTCCTTGTCAAGTTATGACTTACTTTTACATTATGTAGCCAACATACAATAGGGTAGCTGCCTCTGTTTATAATAAATAATTTAACAGTTCTTATATAATAAAGGATTAAATAAACTCATTGAATTGGATTCGTTTTCAGCATTGAAAGTAAATAATAATATTGTGGACACCTAACACACAACGCCATCTAGTTTCAAACTAAGCAGAGCTTGTATTGTGAAAGCTAGATTGACTGATGGAATACTTTTAATTAATTTTAATTTCATAGCTATTATAACGTTAAGTTTGCAATTTCATACAAGTTTCTTTAGAATCTACCGATTACACGTTTAATAAAAAAATGTCAGTACAGTCAACTACCCATTTCACACCTTGTCCATAGAGGGGCAAATACGAAAAATATAATATTTTTATTTATAAATACATTAATATACATGACATAAATAATAAAATACTAGAATTATATTACATCTCACTATCTACCGTGCGCTCCTACATGTATATCTACATAATTAAAAAGTATTAGGAATTACATTAAATTACCGCGAAAGCACCGATATGTTAAGATGGACTATCTCGCTATTATCGACTACCTACATATAACTATGTACCTTCACTAACTCTTTAGAATATCATTTCTTAACACTCCTAAGGACAGATGGCATTACATTTCAACACTTTTACATACATTTTTCTTCGTCCTTGTAGTTTGTTAAAATTCAGAGGCTGGTTAAAAATGAAATATTTTTAAATGTACTTTAATTAATCTTGAAACTATATGGATCCTTGACCGCTTATTTGTCATGAGCGATATTTTAGTAAATTTATTTAAAAAAATGAAAAAAATATGTGATTCACTAGAAAAGCGTATGTTTATGTTACTACGAAACCCTTTTTTTCTATTAGATTTCGAGTTATCGGTGGTGGTGTTTTGTATGTTTTTTTTGCTTTGTTAATACAAAATTTAGCAAAACATATAGAAATAATTTTTAATAGCTGAAGTTTTTAAAAGTGAATTTTAACAAACAACAAGAAACCAGATTACATCAATAGTAAGAATTGACACGAAAACAATTTTGGGTATTATTACGTACGTACAAACTTATTGTCCTACAAAAAATATTATTCTCTACTGTTAAAGGAATGGCAAGTCTCGAGGTTATCTTTACTAATGAAATTTATGTACTTGACTGTACATGAAAAATATAAAATCGATGCTATTAACTCATTAAATACAAATCCACACTGAATGATCTCGTGGAATATACTTATAATTAAAGAATATGTGTCCTTAATAAAAGTGAACTAATTATGTCCAAATTAAATGTAAACAAGTGAGTAAGTGATAAACATTTGACATAAAAGTACAGTCATGCACATAAATCTCAACAGAAGATCTACAAGTGTTTAAGTTAAAACTTAATACTTGTTATTGTATTAGTGGATATGTCAGTATTATGGTCACACATTGTGGAAACCGTGTTTTTTTTCAAAAGCTCAATCAGGTATATTATTTTCCTTACAAAATGTTTCAATTCACATTTTTTCTTTGAATTTCAATGGTAAACATTTACAAATTTCATTATTCATATACAATTAAAAATGAATTGCTATTAAACAAAATAAAATATCAAAAATAAATAATGGCAAAACTAAAATGTGAATCGAAACCATAGTTTCCAGAGCACGTATCAACAAAAGTAGTTTAATTCTAAACATTAAACAATAACAAAACTGAATATATTCCTACCAAATTGACATTTAAATGACAAATCAACACGAAGGCCGTCCAATAAGCTCACAACGCAAGTCCCTAACGTAAGTTCAAGGGATATTGGAGCGAAAAACACCGAAAACAGTTATTTTTCGTACTGACTGTACATCTACGGGGGAAGTAGCCTCAACTGCTTTGTTAGATGGACTTAGCAGTTCAATAAACAACACCACTACTTAATAATAAACTAGTTGACTGCACGGATGGCGTAGTGGTTTAAGCGGTCGCCACGCCGCTTTCTACTACACCGAGTGTTGTGGGTTCAAACCCCACATGGGATGACACTTTGTGTGATCCACAAATTGTTGTTCTGAGTCTGGGTGTTCTTTGTATCCGTTTCATGTTGTTTGCAAAGTCCCCCGCGACACAGGATATATTCCTAATGCGGGAGTCGTCTTGAAAAAAATAAACGAGTTGTACCCTGCCACGCTTCGCTGTGGTACATTGTGATTGCATTGATGAGTAATAAGGAGCAACACTAAAGCGAAAAACATTATTTGAAGCGATTTGTGTATCGTGTCAATTTACAGCTCAGCTTCAGCTCAATCGGTGCAGAACTTACAGGTACAGACTATATTTTGAAAGCATCATCAACATCCTTAAATAGTCCACTGCTGGACACAGGCCTATAATTAGAAAGGAGGTTCTGGCCTACTATACCAATTTTAAAGAATTCTGAATTGCTGGGTTGGTATAGGGTTTTTTTTCGAGTTTTCCTTCTCTTTGCAGTGCTGTTGTCCTGTGTGGTTTGCTCCCTTAGTCGGCTCTTACGACACATCTCACACGTGGCCATCTATTCCTAAACTAGGCAGAAGCTGTGCTATGATGACCAGACTGCTGATAAACACACATATGTCTAAATACACACATATTATAGACAAATTACACTCAAACGGAACAAATAAATCATGTTCATTACACAACTTTTGATCCTAGGTAACTATTTCAACGCAGTCAGATCGTGCGTTAGTTATTAATCCAAATGGACTAAATAAAAAGCTGTGAAGCAGTTTATTTATAGAAAAATTAAATTGAAATTAAAGAGAGTATTGTTTGATTTTTGTAGTAAAATTAATTATAAACTTTCCCCCGTAAACGTACCTCGTGTGGTATTGTGGTAAATGAATGCAATAACGCCAGTTTTACTCTACATACCCTGGTATTGGGGACGAAATCCCATTTTTATTTCACTTACAGCCTTCTTTCAATTTGTTATTGTCCGTACCTACTACTTTTGATAATTCTAACATTCAGGGCCCTCAGGAATATACCCACTGCTCAAGTGACACAATTTTATTTGGCAGGGTTATGTTTTTTTTTTTTATATTAATTAATTTACACAAACGATTTTGTTTGATGCATCAAATACGATTTTATAATGAAAAACAAAACTTTTTCTTGTATAAATTCAGAGGGCCCTCTACCTAAGTTTACCGAGCTAATACACTAAAATATTCGTTGCCAAATCGCATATAGTGTATTTTATCCTCTGAGCCTTTTTCCCAAACTAGGTTCGGGTCGGCTTTCAGTCTAAAGCTGGCTTTCACACGACACGGCTGAACTTCGAATTCTTCGTGGAGCGACAAATCTCATATAGTACATATAATGTTAAATTGATAAAAGTCTGACTTATATAAGTCTCTAGTTCATTCAACTTCGTAATAAAAGAAAAGTAACCATTTCGTTGAACCACATTAAGAAATATTTTATTCTAATTTGGCTTAAAATAAACAACAGTAAGATTAAGCAGGTTATGTAACTGATAATAGTTTCAGTTTTATATAACCAAGTTTATATTTGATATAATGAGAATTTTATTATTTACTTACACTGAAAGAAAAATCATACATACAGCAGTAAAGTAGGTGTGCGATACCCAACGAAGTATATATATATATATGCGATTTGGCAACAAATGTGTCTCACTGTGGACTGTGGCTTACAGAGCCCCAATGTCGGGGTAGGCGTGCGGCACGCCGGGGCCCACCTCGCGGTACTGCAGCGGGTCGGCGCGGAACTCCACGGGCTGCAGCGCCATGTGCCCGTACACGGCGGCGAAGCGCGCGATGCACGCCGAGCGCTGCGACATGTGCCGGGCGTCCGCCGACAGCATCTCTGTGTTCGTGCATTCTGGACATTTGAATTTTTTGCGGGGCGTTACCTGGAAATTAATTAAAACAAGATGGAGTTTAATCCAGAATCCCAATTCCTATAATGTCAACGTTAGCTAACACGGCACTAGTCCCGTATAGATACCTTGACTAAGTTCTAGCCTTACTCACTCTGAGAAATACAACGAGAGAATTTCTGGACACCATGTAGGACGGGGGTTGAGAATGGCTCTCCCACGGTTACAAAGATTGTATATATCTTTGTAAAATTTAGACCTATTCTAATATTTTCAGTTCAAAACTTCTTTAGGCGAGGTTGGGCATTTTTGAACAACAAACAAAGAATGTATTTTTGTGATGGAAAAAAAACCATTGAACTCGTTACACTGTTACCGTTATCGACACCTCTGTAAAATACTTAATGTACATAAATTGCCCCGTTTACATACATTACACTGACAATATAACTATATATATTATGAACATATATTTTGTATATACATACGTACAACATAGATATATATTTTTTCGATTTTATAATCTTTTTTTTTTAAATTTCAAGTTTTCACTTTTGTCGGCACTTCCGGGAGTGCCACTGTTTTTTTTTAGATTTTAATTAAACACACTTGGAGAAATAATTTTTCTTTTTATTATGTCACCTACCATTTAATACACAAAATATATTATCCAATTTTGATTAAAGTAATAAAATTATCAACGTAAAGTAAACAATTACATTACTACTAAACTACTACTTAAAGTAAGTTATCACTCATTAATTAATGAACATTGAAGTCACGCGAAGTTTTTATTATCGTACTTAGTATGTTTTAATGGCCGAGTTTATCGAACATGAAAATATTGCTTGACCGTACTCGTATATTGCCGTAAAATTTATGAAATAAATAGGTGTTAAAAAAAGCATAAAGAAGTCTTGAAATGTTTATATAATTTATAATTCCTTTAATTAAATTTAATTATTAATACTATTGCGTCAACCAAGCAAATTATAACTATTTCTACTTTAATAGTAAACTTGACATGAAAGGATAGGTATCAATATGCACATACCCACATTTTTCTAGCTATATTTCCTATTTATACGACAAAGTAAGGCTTATTGCGGTCTACTAGATACCTACTGTGGAGGAACGAGTGTCATGTCCCTCCAACTTGGCGAGGTCTTCATGCCTGGCGGTTGATGTTCCTAATCGGCGAGAGAATTATTCATATCGCTATACAGGATTAGAAGTTACACCGTAGTTCGGTATTTCTTCGTTAGATGGCGCTATAGTATGTTGTATAGTGTATATGGGACTGTAACCCAGGAAACTAAAGCACCATAATTTAGAGCTTTAGTTTTGAACTCGAAGCATTAACATTAGTAATCACTAAAAATATAAGTACGAATAGGTAAAAGGTATCGTTTATACCTTAATAGGCGGTTTTTTCGTGACGTTGGCTACGAGGAAGTTCATCGCGATGTCTTCACAGTTGAAATTGTCGTCCACCCACTGCCGTATCTCTCCTGGCATTTTGTACGTATAATACCATGACCAGATCTTGTGGTGGAATGCGGCACCTGTCAGCACCTGGAAAAACCACGACAGAAAGCACGTTAATTTTTGGCTTTTTATAATATTATTATTAATCTGATTGTACCCGGTATCGAAGTGTGAGACATGTATTTAGCCCGAGCTGTCATAATTGTGTTTTTTTTAATGATAATGTGACGTTTAAGTGTAAAACATATTTTTGCAACTTTACTAAAACCGTGAAATTTAACAATTTACAAAAGAAGACCCTGAAAATTAATTTATTATTGAATGTGTGAATTAAAAACAATAACAAAATAATGTTTGTGTATATCATGCATTTTAATAGAATTAAGTAGGTTATTCTTGCTTGTACCAATTATAACATTCAATGACTTTCCACAGTCGTGTAATTAGTGACTGCAAAAGTCTCAGCAACTAATCTCGATTTCTAAGTACACAATCACGCAAACATACCTTGCTATGCCGATAATTCAAACATATGCCCATAAATCAAAACGCACGATATCATGTGCTATCGGTGTGGCATAAATTGCACGATTCGCACGCGTAGGCACGAGCATGAGTACGCGCGGGAAGTGCAGCCGCCAACGGGACATAGGCCTCCCCATACAAAGGAGGTTTTTCATCAAACTACATCTAAAAATTGTCGTGCAGAAATATGTTTTCAGATAGATGCAGAAAAGCTTTCGCTTTGTAATGGTGCACTCAGTAAGTTATATGCTAAACAGTGAAGCAATGATAACACAGACATTTTTTACCAGACAACTCGCCAAAAAATTAAATATAATATACCTATTCCTTTTATAACTGCTAAATTCATAATGTACCCTTTTAGTCGGTTTTCGAACTATTATTTACTGCTTTAGGATGATTCATTTTTAATGATCAGGATGGCAAGGTTATCTTTATAGGGCCCACGTAAACGAAGCAAAAACCTAAGACCTCTCTATGTTAATATGTATGGATGCAGGCATCACCTCAATCAATTTTTGAAGCGAAAGGAAGAGTCGAAAAAATTTAAGTCATAAATTGATCTCAAGTGACATAAGTTGACAAGTAATTATGTAACTCTTGGACACATTCTTTATTTTAACGTATAAAATCGTTAAAAAAGGTAAAAAATCATTTTTTGTCAGAAGTGGGATTCGAACCCACGCCCACAGAAGTGGACTGCGACCTGAACGCAGCGCCTTAGACCGCTCGGCCATCCTGACCTACATAAATACTGCCAATCTACAGTCTTGTTGAATCTCGTTAGAAAACGGCAGTTTCTAACATGAATAGATACGAGATCTGTCATAACATGTCGAAATTCTTTAAACAACATATAATGGTAATAGTATTTTTAACCTAATAAAAAGGAGGTTATTTAAGTTTTCATTACAAAAAAGTTATAAAGATAAAACTCAATATTTGTTTGTATAAATTTCAAGCGCTGTCGACATAATATATAGTAGCATGCATGCATGAAAACAGGATGCCTTTCATTCAGAAACACAAAATTTTGAAGGCGGAAAATTACTTTTATGCATGCGAAGCCAAGGGCCAGTTTATTAATACTAAATAAACATATTGAAGTATCCCATATAGATGAGATTAAAAGTATGAAGTTTATGGTCAGTAAAATCGCTATTTTATCTCTTATAAAGTCTTAAATGCCAATTACGTATTGGACTTACTCATGATTGGGCTATACATAGAGAACAATGTAGATTTTAAGAAATGATTCTTGATTCCTGGAAATTCGTTGGGTTTTATTGTTGGATGTCGTCCAAAACTCTTTCGAGATTTTCTCTTACACTTTTCCTTGTAAACTAGTATTATTTGAAACATTCGGTAGAACACATTGGGTATAATATTGATTGTTATGATGGAAGACTGACAGCTAGACAGAATATTTTATTTAACTCAATAATACAGTGAAATCATGGCGGATTAGCCACGTAGTAAGAGTAGCATATATTAGGGGCACCCTACAGTGCATTGACCGAACAACCCTCGTGTACAGCCGTCTTGTCGCGACGCTGGGTCCTCCCAAATTGGTCAAAAGTCGCCCAAGGGCGGACGCAGCGCCCAACAACAGGTACGATGACTGAATTGACCACGATTGTGGCGCCAGGGGGTGGAACACGATAATGCCCTATGAAATAAGAGGCCTCCGTCTTATCCAGGGCCACCCATAAGCCGAGCACCTCAATGCACCCGACTACCAAAGAGACAACCCTGGTGGCCAGGCGCGCCGCCGCTTGAAACTTCACCGAACGGGCTGTAACCAGTGTTGTCCGCGTAAAAGATTACGCCCAGCGAAGGCGGAAAGTCACCTCGAAGCCATTTTATTTCATTTCAGAGCCCTGTCAAGTCAACCAGCCATACCGTCTGGTCAGCGTGGTATAACGCTAAACCCCCATTCTAAGGAGAGGCTTATGTCCAGCAGTGGACTATTATAGGCTATTTATGATGATGATGAATACCTTAAACCACTTAAATAACCTAAAACAATCCAAGGGCCTCATGGTAGAATTTGCTACAGGCCTCGCGCTGGCTTAATCCGGGACTGAGTGAAATACTGAAACTGTATAGGGTATTCATACGTGCGTGCTGGTTTTGTGTATACCTACCTATGAAATCGAGAAAAAACTCCATATCAACGCAATATCTGTATTTTTGTATCCATAAATCATTTTGTGAAGGACTAAAAGCGTCGCATTGACTATTTTTAACCGACTTCAAATAAGAAAGTGGTTCCCAATTCGGTTGATATCTTTTTATGTTTGTTACGACATGACTTCGTCGTTCATGAAACGATTTGGAAAAATCTATTTACAGTTTAAAGATTAAATTTTGAAGTAAAAATGAACAGTATATATTGCGGACAGGATCGAAACAATCATAATTGCAAAATCATTAAAATAAATACTGTCAAAGCAAAACAAATTCACGTGGTCGCTTGTTCGTCCTATGATTCAAGCTTCTACGAAGGGGACAAAAATATAAAAATAGAAAAAAAAAACAAGTTTATATGTGATATTCAATTATGATTATCGTGTATTCCCCCTTTGTCTTTTCCCAATTAGCGCCAAGGGCAGAAAAAGTGACGCAGGGTGCCCTACACTACGTTTGCCTAATCGCGGTCTCCACTCTAGTACACTTCACTCCACTCTGTACAGGTGGGTAGATATTTATTTCTCCAAAACTCTTATTAATCAACAAACAAATCTCTCTAAATTACCTATACTAGTTTCAGTACATAGATTCAATTGGCCCCAACTCTCGGCAATATTAACTGTTTAGTTAGTCAATTGTCTCATTCAATTACTTACTAAGTGGTACAGTCGTGCACATATATCTCAATCTGTAACTATCGCGTGTTCTGAATACATTTATGTATGTTCAAATAACAGAGTGTTTAATACCGCTTAATTGGTTTTATAAATGATTTACATTTTCGGTTGAGATCGTATATTATTATAAATTACTAGCTGACGCGGCAAACGTTGTAGTGTAAAACAAAAAAAATTAGGGATGGGTCACCCTTAAAATTTAGGGGTATGAAAAATAGATGTTGGCCGATTCTAAGACCTACCCGATGTACACACAAAATTTCATGAGAATCGGACAAGCCGTTTCGGAGGAGTACGGGAACGAACATTGTGACACGAGAATTTTATATATAAATTATAAACCATGACATTACTGTTGTGCAGTATTGTAGTAGCAATTCATACTATATTCGTGCATTACATACTGTACTTAGTATCTTCTTGTAACAAAATGTTCATTAAAGTATTATCGCGACAGTTGCCTATTCATTCCATATTACTTACGCTTGGTTGAGGTCTTTGAGATGCAAAAACGCAAGAAACTTTCTTCTTTTGTTTGGACTTCATGCCTCTGGGAATCTTTCACAAAATCTTAAAAAGGTTTAAAAAGGTACATCTTTCGCCGATTCCCCAAGGGAACTTCATTTACTAATATTCATTTTTCTTTTCCTTTCCTCGCTTACAAAAGTCATGCCGTTATATTAGATGTTTTAAAAGACAAATGGCTGTATTATGTTTTTTTTTACTGTAACTGACGAAATGTAATTTTTGTTAGCTAATTTTGCAACAAGGTTAGCCTGATTATATTTTAGACTAATCGTGTTGAACTCGCAGAAACTTCTCTTTGAACAAAAACATTTCTATCTTAGACGCATGGAATATCTCCGCCTTTCTTTGTGAGTTCTTATTTAGTCAATTAGTAACACTTAGATTACTTTAATATTTAGAAATTAAAATCTAAGATGTTTTCTTTTTTTTCTTTTAAAGTCAACTCCCGCATTAGGAATATATCCTGTGTCGCGGGGGACTTTACAAACATACATGAAACGGACACAAAGAACACCCAGACTAAGAACAACAATTTGTGGATCACACAAAGTGTCGTCCCATGTGGGGTTTGAACCCACAACACTAGGCGTAGTGGGAACCGGCGGGGCGACCGCTTAAACCACTACGCCATCGGTGCAGTCAAATTAAGAGCCTATTCCGTAAAATACACAGGAGATGAGTTTGGAAAATTACGTTAATAGAGGTGCGTTCTTGTTACGTTTGCGTTACAATTAAATTCATTAAAATTAAAATAAATAGATCACTAATCACCTCTATAAGGTAGAAGATAATAAAAGAAAAATTGATTAATAAAATCGACTTTAAACAATGGACGGAGTAGCGTAAAAGTATGACAGATATTTCTGAACGCCGCGTAATAAATTACAAAGAGTAAAGAAAATATTAACGAAAGAAAAAAATAAATGTTGATAAATAGTACTTATCACTTATATAACTTCAGAGCTGACAAACATTTGTATCGTAAATGATGGTTATTTATTAGGTCATTTGGTGGCGAGTAATATTTTTTAATAATACCTACAATTTTTCTGTCTTATATAAAGTATTGTGTAATGATTTGTCAATCAATGAGAAAGTAAGTTTTTTTACACTGACGCCTTAACTGCTGAACCGATTATCATGAAGTTTGATTGACATATTGTC